TGACGGATAAAAACTCAGACTAGTCGTGGACGAGTAGTTTTTGAGACAAAGACTAGACGGGACGGGTCGACTTGACTAGAAAAAAGACTAGTCATTTAACCAGTCTTTTGCTCACTTGGGTAACAAGATCTAAATAAGGTCATCTAAACAAAATCCTTTGCGTTTTAAATAAAGATTATGCTGGATCACATCTTTCTATAACACGGTCAAATGAATCCAATAATGTTTTTTGATGAGTCGATCAGATTCTGTGTATCAAAGTGTTTCTCGTTTTATTCAACTCACTTGCAATCTATGTATCAATGATTATAAATGTTTATTGTCTGCACTCCCATCCCCATAGATTGTACCAGTGGTGTCGCTAAATTTAAAATTTACTGTTTATGCTTACAAATTACTATATCAGAAAACTAGAAGTTGTTTTAACTTGGAATTCAAACAAAGTATTGACTTCAACAGATTTTTTAAACACTTTTTTCAATTAGCCATATCAGCCATTACGTATTCGACATTTTTACCGACTATAGCTTCTACTAAACGTCTTTTATCAATTTTTATTGACTAGAGTGTGGACGTAGACATCAACGAACAGAAGACTTACAACACACTATAAATGTCTTGCTATTGACAGGACCTGGAAGTGAGCTAGTTTTCCTTACAGTCACAAACCCTCCTTATCTCGATAATTTTATTATATTCCGAATACTAGGGCATTATTGCCCATCAGATGTCAGATGTCAACGGTATGCATGTCTTTTTTCCCCCTGATAATATCTTTCCGTGCATGTGCTTCTCATTTTCACGTGTATGGTTTTCTGTGTACTTATCATTGTTTTGCGTTTAACTGAAGAGACTTTGTTCTTTGTATGATCTCTTCGATGCTTGCATTTGTTAACAAAAGACAGTCGAACAGTATCTACGAAGTGTTTCTTATCTGTTTACCCACCGATATCTTTTATGATGAATCAACATGGTAGAACGTCAAAAAGCAAGTAACAGATATATTTAAATGAGGTTAAGAGAGAAAGAAGATGAGAGTTGATAGAAAAGACACACCATCTTGCAACAACGACAAGCTAAAGTAAGTAATCGCCAATGAGAATGCGACTTGCTTGATGCAGTGTCCATGGTGAAGTAAAAATCCGCTCGTTCTAGTCGCACCTTTTCTTAGATCATACACTACAAGTAGCGATGCTAACCCAAAAATTGACTCCAGACCAGGTCGATCTTTACCATCAACAAGGATACATCATTATAAAATCCTTTTGCAAGCCCGATGAAGTCAATAAACTATACAATGCTGCGTTGGAAGATACTACAATGCTTAACAATGCTTTCGATCTTAACGATCAAAGCGGTAAAAAAACAAGACTATCACTTTGGTTCACGCCCGGCAATGATGTTTTTGGGTATTTAACCCGCAGCGAAAAGATGATAGGTTCAGTAAAACAATTGTTAGGTGGCGATGCACCGGTTTGCCACTATCATTCAAAAGTGCTGCAAAAGGAACCAAAAGTTGGTGGAGCATGGGAGTGGCACCAGGATTATGGTTACTGGTATAAAAACCAGTTTATGTTCCCTGATCAGTTAATCAGTGTGATGGTTGCACTGAATCGAGCCAATAAGGAAAACGGTTGTTTGCAGGTGATCAAAGGCTCGCATAAAATGGGCAGAGTAAATCATGGTTTCGCAGGCGAACAGATGGGAGCCGATATGCAGATGGTGAATAACGCACTGAAAACGATGGAATTGGTCTATGTGGAAGTAGAAGCCGGTGATGCACTGATGTTCCATACTAACCTGTTACACCGGTCAGAAGCTAACCTGTCAGATCACTCGCGTTGGTCGATAATTTCCGGCTTTAACCTGCAATCAAACCCGGCCTATAATGAGACGTCAACATCCTATAAAGTGCCGGTTAATGTAGTGCCGGATAATGCTATTATAGATTGGGATGCCGACTCATTATCAAATGCCGATTTCTTGAAAAAAGAAAATGATCCGGCTTTGAAAGAAACAGGATGGGAGAAAGCCTAGTTTGAGGATGTGTTGATTTGATCATTTGGAAATGATCGATGATTTCAGTTTTATACCTTTTTTCAATCTTTTCAACTTATATTAACCTATTATAAAAAACAATTGATCAGTGTTTATACACGGAATATCAATAAAGCGGAAGATTATGAGCCTCCTTTTTTTCGGATGGTATGAATGAAGTGTTTACATCGTTGCCAAATAACCCACACGAAGCTGAGGTTGTCGCTAGTGCAAAAGCTAAAACAACATGTTTTCTGTATCAAACCCTTTGACTGTAATGCAGCCGAAGAAAAACCTGCGCTGGGTATCGTTGAAGAAGCAGACATCATCGGTAGATACCTGAAAGACCATTGTTCTACAGAAAAATTCTTGAAATGGGTAAAAGCGGTAAGGGATGACAGCATTTGCAAAGGGCTGTGGGCAAAATCAGACGGCCCGCATCCTAGCCTCTGGAAAAATAGGTATGATATGGAACCTTTTGCTGTCATTATTAGCCTTTCGTACTGCACCTCTTATTTTTAGAGTTAAGTTCGCACAGCGATTGATTTTCGGATAATGAACAATCTTGAGGGTGTGGCGATGGTTGATCTGGGCTGTCGTTGATTTATAATATCTTGCAATTATTTTAACTAAAATTACGGATATTGATATATTCATTCGAATATTCGATTTGAAATTGTTATTCTTCTTCATGAGAATAGACAATTTCTGTTTTATATCATCGATAACGTCACCAGTGGTATTCTAGTTCGTACTTATACCATGTAGGGTGTAGATGTCCCTATGAGCACACTACACAGTACACGTGAGTCTACATCGTTCCACATACCCACACATGAATGGGTCTTCGATATCTTATCATTTTTCTGTTCCAAACTTGTTATGTCATATTCTTATGGGAGTTTGACATTTTAGCTTCATCAGATGCGCTGCTGACAAACTCTTTTTCATAACTCTCATGTGATTTGATTTGATATAATGTCTACCATATCGAAAGCGAATATGCTATTATTCATCTGAAATCGGTGACTCGTGACAGCTTCAGAACGAAAGAGAGCGATTCTAAATAAGTAAATGACGTGTATTTCGCTTACACGTAATTGCATTAATTACTCTCTCATCTTACATGTTTACATGTTGCTCATGAATATTCATATTGTATTGCGTATCAGAGCATATAAATGTCTTTTTGTATACGCAAATGCATTTGATTTGATTTCTATCTCAATTATGCAATGATGACCAGCACAAAAACAACAGAAAAAAAGAAAAACACAAGTATTTTCCGTCGATTAATCAAGAGTAAGACCAGTCCTCTTTATCATGCATGTAAAACCGGGGGTGTCAATCGTGTCCGAGAACTTATCGCTTCTCTAAACTATTCTGACATCAATCGTCGGGAGTCCAGCGGAAGTACAGCTCTTCATGTTGCTTCGTCCTTGGGTCACTCGGATATTGTTCGAATTCTTCTACATGAACGAAGTGTAATGAAACATCAATGAAACCGCGACGGTATGACTGTATTTGATGTAGCAGCCAATGATGAAATTCGTCAGCTTTTCATTCGACCCAAATGTGGATCAAAGCGATTCTGTAACGATGATGATAGCACTAATCAAAAAAAACTTTTCACAGTCATCCACGGCGATCAAAAAGGCAGCGAGAATAAGAAGCATGATGATGATAAGGATGATGATAATGGTGATGATGATGATGATGATGATGATGATGATTCACCATCGAAAAAGTGGGTTGATTTAGTGGCAGATGAAAATTACATTAGAGGATTACAAATAAGTCAAGCAGTTGGAGAAACTCTATTTGGCTCGTCATTGGCTCGATCAATTACGTTTGTTATGTTCAATCATTTACTCGGTGATCAGTTCAGGCATTTTGAAAATGAGGCATCCGTAAGAGATTTTCTACTACGTCTTATTGATATGCATGTGACCCGTAATGATCCCGAATATGACAAAACATGTGAACTAGTAAGCGAGTTTGCCCGAAAAAAACGGATTGAGCCATTGCTACGTCTTTATACCCTTGAAACGTCCTTGTATCGTCAACTGCACTATGAATCAGATGCATGGCTCCTTCCACTGGTCTGCCACTTTACCAAGCTAAAACCACGATTCTTTCGAGGAACATCCTATCGTGGCTTATCGATGAAATCTCAAGAATTGAGAGCCTACCGATTGGCATGTGGAAAATCATCGTGTGTCCTTCGAACAAACACATTTTGTTCAACATCCACTGATCGTCATGTTGCCGAAGAACTTTCAAATGAATGCTTCAATAGTGATCTGATCCATGTTCTGATGATCTTTGAATTTCCCCAACCATGCCATTCGACTATTCGACTCTACGCTATTTCCGACAAATATCCAAGTTTATCCAATTTTGAAGATGAGCAAGTCTTATTGTTACCGCAGACATTATTCCATGTTAAGCGTATCGAGAACGATGGAAAACAGTGCCACACAACGATTTGGCTAGAGCACGTGCCACCCGAACAGCATCCATTTCAAGCTTACATACGATGTATCGCTAGAGATATTCGAAAACAATGAATCAACGATGCAACAGAATTTTTGTTTTGTTTTAATAAAATTAACTTGTCATACTGATTTGTGGTCGACTGTTTTCACCATTAAAACAATAATGTATATGCTTCCAATAACGATTAAATTTGATTTTGCATTGCAAGCATAAATTGACTCGAAACATGAAGGAAACATATTCCAGAAGTATAGAGCTAAATCCTTCAAATGATCTCGAATACTAGTGTCAAACACTAACTTTTGATTCAATTAATAATTTCTACGAGTTTACGTTCTGATCTAGGTATATACACAATGCAATTTTCAGAGAAATAAGCCTCTTGATAGTTCATCTTCTACAAATCTCCAATAATATGAAAAATTTTAAACAAAAATTTTTCTTTCTCTATTCAAATATTATCAAAAAAAGGAGTAATCAGCCATGGCGAATGTTCATCATAGGAGGTATTTTTAATGAGAAAAAGAGAGAAATGATGTCATTCTTTTTTATTCCCTCGACTGTAGGGAGGGTCATATGAAAAAAATGCCTTTGTCTGTCTGCTTGTGGCAGGTCAAAAAAACATCATACGAACTTTCTTCGTTTTGAGCTAAACCGTCTTTTCATCGAACTTTCCTTAATGTTATCGGGGTCGGGGAATCCAAATCTGAAGTCAGATATTAGAAATTTTGGGTTCAGTTTTCCGGACGAAGGAAATGTTTTTCGAGAAAGCGTTGATATTCTATAAAGGTTGACGAAGGGAACTATCTGATGGAATAAATTGTGTGAGCAAAATAAAAGTAAAAGATTTAATGGGAAGGAAATCGTGATTATCGTGACGAAGCGAATGTAGTAACGGGATACTTGACAGGGAAAATATGTTTGAAGAATTTTAGGAACGGACAGGGCGGAAGTAAAAAATATATGTACAAAAAGAATATTATGTCAATGAGTACTTTATCGAGCACAAGGCCAAGTTAAAAGAATATCATACCCCTCTTTTTATGGATGTAAAGAATTGATGTTGGGAAACTATGTGAAAAAAAGAGCACAATCCCCCTCCCCCTTATGAGCTACGTAAGAAGAAGAAAACACAATTCGTTAAAGAAAGAATATTTGTGTTTGTGTTGCTGACTAAATCTAGATTAAGTAAAAATGAATGAAACCAACGAATAGAGATTCTGATTGACATCGACATTGTGATCTCGAATAGGAAAAGCCTCTGTGAGAAAATAATATTGATGTCTATTCTTGGTAAATAAATTTAAAAGAAAACAGTCACATACAAAACGAAAAATTGTTTTTCCATCTTTATGCGGGTACTGAATAGTAGTCAAGTGCATACATAAAATGAAGAACATCTATGTTGATCCGTATGGACTGAATTAAATAACTTAAAATACTATCTATAAAAAAAACAAAATCATATCAATATGTGTCGTAATGAATTATTCAGTGTTAATAAAAAAATATGTTTTAAAATTAAAAAAAGATGCGTGGTGTAGAATGGAAAAAAAATTTGTTTTGATCAATATAGTGAGCTTTAGTACGGAAATACATGGAAGAAAAAGAATATCCATCCTTATCGTTATGAAGTTATTGACACAAAATAAAATAGTATGCATAAAATATATTATCATCTGCTCTCAAGAATTAATTCTGGTAAAAAATAGAAGATTGTATCGAAAGAAAACAATATCAACGTTTTTCATTATCGATGTAGTTAGGTGGAGTTGAAAAGTTTTGAACGAAGAGGAAACTGATCTTTCCATTGATGTAATGAATGAAGTAAAATTTAAAGACTAATGCTAAAATTTTAATGCGAATCTGTGCTCGTGCGCGATGAGTCAGGTAATATAAGTTACCGTATTAGAAGCTTATGTTACAAAAAGTGGAGTGAGTTCCGTAAAATGAGAGGGATCAATATGAATGATAATTATTCTTATGAAAGGAATTAAACTTAAAATTATATTGTTTATGAATACAGAACACAGTTCTCTCTTTTCAAGCAGCTATTTAGATATGATCAAGTCAGATACATAAAAAATACTATTGTTTAATATTTTTCTATCAATGAAATGAGTTCGAATGAAAGAACATACTATAAACTAATTAGTATCTGTATCTTATCAGATCAACTAATTATAATGAAATAAAATGTATATTTTTTTTTACTTTTCATGTATTTATTGAACAATGATGATAAAAAGATTTTTACGAGCTTAACAATAAAAATAATTAGCAAGACTAATTAAAGATTATTAAAGCGGTAAAATGAGTTGAGACTATATTAAGTTTTCTAGATAAAAAAAAACAATAAAAAAATCTAATGAGATTAGATGATAGCTAAACAAATATCATGCATAGAGAGAACCCTAATATATTTAAAAGCACGAAACTGTGATTCAATAAATCTTTCAGCTCACATGAATAGGAGTTTTTATGTGAATTTAAACTCCCAAATCTACAACTGTTGATGGCGAAGCCGATGATAATTTCGATTCTGACAATGGCAATTGTGTTTGTAATGCCGAATTTTTGTTGGCGAACACTGAGGCAAGTTTGATAAGATTACCCATAGACGAGTTGTTTCCCCTGCGCATGAAATAAGAACGAACCGCACAATATAAAAATGCAATCGTTAATAAAATAATAGCAGCAAGAATCATGTACGTAAGCCAATTTTTTTGCATATCTTTCAACCAGAGTGCTGGTACAGCTATTAGATCTCTTCTACTCTCGATGGCTTTACCAGCTGCTTTCAGTGTTGTTTGAACAGGCGTATCAGCCGCTTTGGATAAAGTCGTGTCGCCAAGAATAATTTTAGCATTACCTCCTTCTTTGACATGTTGTTGAATCAAGGTTTTGATACTACTACCTCCCATATTTGATCAAACTAGAGAATAATACGTAATGATATTGATTTTGAAAATAGTAATTTTTTTTATTCGTATGAAACGATTAATGATATTTCATCATCTTTTATAGTGCATGAGGAGAAGAGAGAAGATGTTCGTTTTTCTTATCAGGTCAAAATCAACAATTCAGCTGAAAATTAATGATGATGAATTTCTTTTTCTTCTGGAAGTCAGCAGATTTCATACTTGATAAGAATGCAAACATATTCTATATTGCTGATAGAACATTATTGAGCCTGTTTATTTTTGAAAAAAATTGTTTTTCCATTCAAATGACTATATGTTTATTACATACACGCAGGCATAAAAATTCATATTATTTGAGAAAATGTTTTTTTTGTGAATTGTTGAGCGATTTAAAAGACGCAGAATTTCTAAGAAAGATATCCCTCCATATAATTGGGGATGTTGTTTGATAATGATGTCTCATCAGATACGGAATACTCAGTAGAATTGATAAACAAAATTCTGTTGAAATCTGTTTCAGGGAGTCGTTGTTGGTAGTGACGTTTTAAATACAGAAACAGGATCGGTAAAATAATAAAAGTTAAGACCAACATAATATTAATGATAATAACTGGATTATTGTTTATGACGACATCTTGAAATCTTTTGATTGCGTCTTGAATTGTTTGCTCTAGACAAACATCTTGTAAGCAAGATCTTGGCCAAGATACAAGGTGCAGATATGTTAACAGATCTTGGAAATTCAGGTACAAGATAACTGTATTATCTTGTACTCAAGATCTAATTACAGATCTTACATAAGAATCCATTAAATCTTGGATGCACACTAAAATAATACCTGCTGCATTCTTTAATATTTTTTCAATTTATTTTCATATTAATTATTTCTCTCCCGAATTCTAGCACATCAGATGTTGGGATCTGACTGGCTACAAATTGGTCCGATATCCGTAGGACCAATTAGGGAAGTCCTCTCTCGATCATCGATCGAGATCAGCATTCTCTCGAATAATCGAGAAATAGTTGAGAAAAAAAAATTCGAAAATTTGTGTTTCGTATGTTCAATCATGCTGTTTATATACAGCTGTGTATGCATTTAAAAAACGGTGAATGACTAGAGAGCATGTAAATACAGTAATGATGTCGCTTTCTGTTTCGCGCAAGATCTTATCAGAAGATAATAGTACATGATATTTTTCCATGATCTTGCCAAGATCTTAAGTACAGATTTATCTGATACAACCAAGATATGTACATACAAATTATCTTTTTAGGATCTTAATAAGATCTTACTTACCGATCCCAAGATTTCCAGATCTTGCTTACAAGATGTTCGACTAGGGCAGACATCAATGAAATGTTAAATTTCGCACCATTGATAATCCAGACATTATTATTAGCTCCCGATATATCAGCAGATTGTTTAATAGATGTTGAGAATGTCGAACCCATAGTCAATACGATTAGAAGCTATGGCAAATGAAAGGCAATATATATAGGCGCCACCAAGACTCGAACTAACACTATAGGTTCCTATGTATTTGATCTAAATATCACATCGAAATATGAGAGAATCACATGTTTAGAAGAATAAAAAAATTGACTTGAATACAGGAAAAAATGATATTTAAATATGTACATATTTTATTAGAAATTTTGTTGTGATACCCAGATAACAATTACAAGTATTTTAAGAAATAAATGCGGAAAATTTTAGTAGTTTAGAAAATGAAAATATCTTCTTGTTATTAAAATTTTATGAATTGACAGTAACTGCTTGCTTATCTTTAGATTTTCCTATCACGTTTTATTTTAATTTAGTTCTTACTAATTCGATGAAAACTTACAAATGATTTCAGGACGAAGTTCACTATCATTTATCACACAATGAATTGGAACTTCATCTCAAATTTTAAGAGTCAAGGTTGTTACGTGATGGAAGAATCTACACGTAAGATGTGCTCGGTGATTTACTGATAGAAGGGAATTTGACGTGTTAGCTCAAAGATGCACTAAATCAGTTGTATAAAAGTATTCTGATACAAATTACAATATAAACAAACAGACCAAGCGAAGTGAGTGACGATATTGGGTTGCTGTATGATGAATGGCCCATAACATCATGTGAAAAGGTTTCTATCTAGAAATATGGAGGATTTCATTGAGATTTGATAATGAATATAGAACGTATAACAACTCAGTGGATTATGAAATGTAAAACTATAAATGAGAGAAGCTACAGCTTGAAGAAGAGAATGTTTTCTCTCTAAGAAAGATCGATATTATTCGTGGCCTTGAGCCACTTCATGGCTTTAAATCATTTCAATGAATTTTGAAATAGTACGCCCGTAGTAAAGATAGGAGGTGTGGGGCGTCACGAGTCCCTGATTTTTTCGATTTTTTTGGCAACAAATCAAAAAAGTGGTTTGGGAGACGGGATTGTGACAACCCTGGTTGAACGTGTATGCATCACTATCTACTGTCACCGTTGTGTGGAATGATTGTTTCTGTTTGCTGTTCTTACTTATCATATCATTTGTTGTTAGCTAACATGTTACTCTCTCTTCTTATATATTCACCTAGTGTTAATTACCGTATCGTGCGTCTATCACTCATCATACTCAATGTAATCGTATGCACTATACAAGCATATATCACTAATGAGTTTATCTTATGTCTCGACCGTTTTTGTTCATACTCAATGATTGTTCTTTTTCCTTTCTCTGTATAAGATATTCTCTCTCCTTCTCTCGTTCCACGATCGATATATAAAGAGTGGACGTGAGAGGAGAGAGCGATCATTCTTTTGGATAATAAACTCAAGAATCGTTACAATGGCCAAAAGAAATAAAAACCATTTTAGTATCAAGCAATAAAGGTAAAACAAATGAAAATGAAATTTGTTTAAAATTTGTCAATGAACAACTAAATGAATTACAACGCCAATTAAAGTCATATCAACAAGAATTAAATATTCGCGCAAATGATTATCAAGGTTATACATTGTCAATTCAAGAAATAATTATAACATATATTCAAGAAAATCTTAATTCTTCTTTACATAAGAAAATTGAACATCACGTGGATTTGATTTATTATGATTATCATATTCGAGCATTAAAATTAGAATATTTCCAACATAAACCGAACGAGTATCAAGCATGTTTTTTCTTGGAAAATAGACAAATAAATCTTGTTTGAATTTAATCGATACTATTTTAGAAACGATTAATGACACAACGATGTGGGTGTGTTTCTGTCCGAGTGAACACCCACACCCACACCCACACCCACCCGCACCACTCACACCCACACCCTTCCAAACAGATGTAATTATCTATATCCTAGATTACAACAATATTGAAGTAAGAAATTCGAAGAATATTTTGTGTTTAGGATTTGTCTTTTAATTTGATTTTTACTTTAAAACAACAAATTCAAGCTTTTCACAAAAAAGCGACTAACACTGATCAACCCAGATTTTCGAATAGTTCTGAAACGGTTGGTAAAAATGTAATGGAGTCTGGACCATGAGCTGACACTGAAAATCTTCCTGTTCTTCCATAAACATTCGTTGTTACAACTAATATATATGTACGTTCAGCTTCAAGGGTCGTTTCGAAACGAAATTGTAAATTGCTACCACCACTATTATCATCTTGCACCATTAAGTTTTCTTCCAGGTTGGTTAAATCAAATGAGTTTTCATAAAGATAACCAATTGTGTCGAGGTAACTGTCACTTGTGAAAGTGTATGTACCAGATGTCTTTACTTGGATCTGAATAGCTTGATAGTAGTATATGTCGTCTGGATAGCCACCAAGTCGATGGAACATATCACTAAAGAGTGACAGTCCACCTGAAAACATCGACGTAACACCAGATTCAGTATTATCACCTAAATAATTATATTTTAATGAATAGTAAGTCAAAATTTAGACCCATTCGTTGTGTTTACTCTACACATCAGTAAATTATCTAGTATATAACAGTACCAATGCTCATGATCTAACTAGACTCATACTATTCGGCTTAGGGAGACTGGATAGAGACTTGTTTAGAGATTTTATGAATGTATTGTCCACGTTGAATACCAGAGAGTCATCCATACACTATATTTACTTGGTCATTTTGAATATCATCTATTTCCACATATTATTCTTAAATGAATGTCTTTCATACTAAGAAAAGAAATAACTATTTATGGATAGGACTATAAGTACTACAGTTATGTGGATTCAGAGTTTTTAATTTGTAAATGTGGGTCTGAATTAGAAAAGATCTAAATATTTTTCTGTAACTTCAACTCATAGTTGCTCTAAGAATGCTTTCTAATCTACGCATATGTGTATGTAACTCTAATCGTTTTCATTTCTAAAATTGAGTAAATAAACGATGACGATATTATACGACAACAATATCTCTAATTTATAGTGAATTACGTTTTAGATGACTAGCTAACTTTTACGATTCTATTTCAAATATTCAAATTTATTTATGGCACTAATTTTATACTATGGTCAAAAAGAAAATACTAAACCTCGAGTTATGTGATTAATGACGAAAACTAATTTTTTAATTAACAAATAATTTATTTAGCATCAAAGGATTTCTAAAATGATGAAGACCGCAAATAAAAATAAACAAACTTCATTGTTTTAAAGATTTACAGAAAATGCTAAAAAAAAGACTATTGATTCTGTAAATAAAACGTGGGTTGACATAATTTGCTAGTTAATTGAAAAGTCTGCTTTTCAAATCGAAATTCAGTCATATAACCAACAAAAACAAGGAAGTTGTAGTTTTTTTCTATATTTTTCAACTTATTATTTTAATACTACGTAGTAAATTTTTTTGTGTAACTTTTACATAATAAAACGAATTCTAGGTATTATGTCTAAAATTTACGAGTTCAATGATATTGAATTATGTCAAAGAACACCTGAATGAATCAATGTAGGGATGTGCAGTGTCGGTATACTGATCACTGACTTGCACCGGCGGTGTTTTCAGTGGAGCACCGAATTGCACCGACGGTGTTTTCAGTGGCGCACCAACAACACCCCCGGTGTCACTGACACCGACTGCACTGAGAACACGGAATAATTCAATCAATGTTCCCGAATACTGATTGAATTATTCAGTGTTCTCAGTGTGTTCGGTGTCAGTCACACCGATAACAGTGTAGTCGGCACTCCACTGAGAACACCGTCGGTGCAAGTCAGTGCTCCACTGGACAGTTTCGGCGTAGTCGGTGTTCCACTGAGTACACCGTCGGTGTAGTTGGTGGTCATTTTTTCAGTATTTACACCGACACTGCACATCCCTAAATCAATGTCACTTCTAGTAATTCAATGTGCTTGCGAAGTACATGCANAAACCCGGTGGGGGCACGGGGGTGCGCCACTGGACAGTTTCGGCGTAGTCGGTGTTCCACTGAGTACACCGTCGGTGTAGTTGGTGGTCAGTTTTTCAGTATTTACACCGACACTGCACATCCCTAAATCAATGTCACTTCTAGTAATTCAATGTGCTTGCGAAGTACATGCAAGTCATTCAAAAGACTTTTAATTGGCAGTGAATGCAACCTCAACAATTTACTAATCAATTTTTATAGAATTTACAATCAGTTATTTTCATACACTTCGTAGCTCATCTTTTATTAAGTATTCGTATACAAAAATATATTTCGTCTTTGGTCTCAAAAGTTTTTAGAAAACATTTTATGGTCAAAGTCAATTTTCTCATTATCAATGGCATTAAAATTGTCATATTTACTGGTTACTTAGGTTCTATAAAATAATAAAAACATGAGGATCACTCATTCTGCATTCTATAAAACATGCAAGTTTAGGTAGTATGTATGAAGTGGCGCTAATACATTTGGTCACACGACACTTCGTCGCGTTCACTTCGCCGCTATCATTTCGTCGCAATGAAAATACAACTAATCAGATCACTCTATTTATTCAATAGAGAGAGAAAGATAGACAGAAAAAAAATGTAAATCAATTAAATTCAATGTTTTACATTCGTATGCTATTGGATAATCACCTACGTATTGCGCTGTGCTTTAAAGTAATTGTATCTACATAGTTACTAGAGGGATGTAGAAAAAAACAATAATATTTTAAAAAGAAGCTATCTAAATTGGTTTGACAAAGCGTTAAGTTTCTTACTCATACTACTCGAGCTTAGTTTGTTGAGTAATCGCAAAATTAGTCAATTAGTTCGTAAAATGATGACGAAATCTAAAAATATATTTTGGATTTCTCATTTTGGATAAATTTTGAAAAATCAGTATATCAATTAAATAGTTTTGTAGCAGGCACTGCATCCATAGATTTTAGGCATGACAAGTCTAAATCGGGAACATTATTTTATAAAGTTGTAAAATATGTATAATTTGAAAAATTCATTATCAAGGGGGATACCTTTAAAACGTCTTTGTGCAAGGTAAATTTGATTTTTAACTCTTTTGAAAACTATTTTCTTGTAATAGTTTTTACCAATATCCATTTTCGAAAGTTAAACTATAAGTTTAAATTCCTTTTTTCAATAAAAAAATATGTTATTAAGGATGTATTCGATTCCTAATTGAAAAATCCATACGATTATCAAATAACATACGAATGTAAAACATTTAATTAAATTAATTTACATTTTTTCTGTCTATCTTTCTCTCTCTATTGAATAAGTTGAGTGATCTGATTAGTTGTATTTTCATTGCGACGAACTGTTCTGCGACGAAATGATTGTGACGAAGTGTCGTGCGACAACCCAGGAGAGTCATTCCGAGAGTAGGATCCTGTCGGATTCCGACAAGGGTCAGACCGTGAATACACTGTAAAAAAAAGGGTTTATGATACGTTGCACTTTCATAAACCCTTTTTTTGTTAAATACCCTATCGAAAACGTTTTTTCCGTTTATTATTCTGCGGATATTTTTTACAGTGTATACCAAATATCCATGAATTCCAATAAAACCAACGAAATCCTATAGGATTCCGGGATCAGGACCTACAATCGGATCCTTGTTGTAGGAATTCCATAGGATCCAGTGTTGGAAATTAGCGGAATCTGACATGAACGAATGACTCTAGTGTTCTTATGAGAAAATATGCATATTCACCCCTAATTAAGAAGATGTTTTTTTCTCGTCGGAACCGACAGTCGATCTGTAACCAGGAATCCCATCGGATTCTGTTGGGTGATAGGATCCCATCAGATCCGATAGGATCCGTCATAGAATTCATTCACCTGGGAATGTGAACGGTCACCGTATGAAGCTAATGCTTTATATAGATATGTGAAATTTCCTGATAAGTAGGAAAAAAACAATGAGAAGAATATGTAAAAAATTTTACTCCTCATACTCATTAATCATCAATGATTCGAATAAAACTCGACAAATCTTCATTCTGAACAGCTTCCTCTTTTAGTGACTCGTGGCAGATTACAGATTGACTAAAATTCGATGGATATAATTCTTTTCTAAGATACATGAAATCTTATTATTACTTTCGAAGTATTTTTGAATGTGATTTCATCATCAACTTATATTAACTTGAGAAAAATATTACCGAAGCAGATATTATATGAGCTTGTGAACATTTCTCATCAGGTTAAGTTAGATTCAAAATACAACTCAATATACTTTTACAGAGAAAACTGAGCGCAACACAGATTTCGGTTCCTTTTTTTTAATTTCTAGATAAAAATGAATCATCTTTCCTAGGCATGATATGAAAACTAACAACGGTTCAATTCAACTTAAAAGAATACAAAACATAACCAGATTCTCACCATTGAGTGTGTCGAGCTCTGTAGCCCTAGGTGACCATTTCAAAAACTGTGAAATCTAAAATAAATTTGCAATTATATTTAGGAAAATAAAATAAGAGACCTACCGGACTTCCATGAGCCACGAGTGCTACACACAATCCAAGGAGAGCAATCATAACAGTGTTCATACTTTTCGAATGTCTATTGAGAAAAAAAAATGATTTTGATTATTTGCCAGAACAATGTATTAATTTATAGTCGGTTCTTCGACAGGTGCGACTTCACATCTTGAGTAGCCTATTTTTCATTAAGGGTTTTATATCTAAACAGAGGATTATACGTATATCGATGCCTTCAGTGTGTCTGAGAAATTTTATTTTTTTATCAATGCAAAAACAAAGTATCTAGTTTCATTCCTTTGTTTCATTAGAAAATATTTGATCAATAAATGTCTAACAATTCGAAAGCACAAATCAATCTGCTAGTCTCAACCTTAACTTTTCAGTAACCGATTATTTTGTCGAAATTTTCGAAAAATTTCAAAGCTAAATAAAATTATATTTTGATTACATTTAAGTTTAATTAAAAGTAAATGCAGAATTAAATTATTTTTCACCGACGCGTTTCGTGTTATTTTTTTATTTAAATAATGAAAGACTCTTCAGGGCTCTGCATTTTAGGGGTGTCATTTATCGTTTACTTTACAATAAATATAAATTTTTTAACAGGATAATTTGCATTTACAATAAATGTAAATGACTGATATAGTTGATATTTATTTTAAATATAAATGTTTTTCATCTTTTAAATTTATCGAGTATAATTTGAGATAAATGACATATTTTTAGATAATATTTTACGAAGGAAATATTTTAGTGTTAGTATTATATTTATATATAATTTATTCATTGTAATGTCGTTCCATTCAGTAGAAAGTTATTAATTTTAGAAAAAAACCTAATAACTAATCGTGATTTTTTACATAGGCAGTCTTATTATAGTTTATAGTTAAATGACGAAACAATACTAAGTTTTGTATATTTCTAAATTGCATATGAAGTTCATTAGGCTTTTGGAAATAATATTCTTTATATGCTTGAGAAGTAATGTTATATATAACATGTTTATGTTTGTGATATCATGTAGTATTTTTCACGAGCAGTTTATTTAGATTATGTGGCAGGCGAGTTTGGAATTTAGTTGAGTTTGGAATTTAGTTGAGTTTGGAATTTAGTTGAGTTTGGAATAGTTTTTTTCTAAATTTTTCCAATAGAATTTTTGTTGAGATCTGACTTAGAAATTTTTATATTCAAAAAATTATTCCTTGCATCTTTTTACAATGAGTCTTTAAATAATTAAACTCTGTCTAGATTTTTTAAATCATGGGGAGATGGGGACATTGAATTTATCTGAGAAAAATAAATTTTCTATTTTTATCCCTCAATGATAAATTCACTCTCTCTGTATTTTTTAAACTATGGGGGCATGGGGACATTGAATTTATCTGAGAAATATTTTTTTCTTCTCTATTTTCTACAATCTATTACCACGAGCAGAAAAAAAAAGATTTATTCGATTAATTATCTTTTTCGCGCATTCTAATCTCAACTGAAATTCTCATGTCAACTGTAACATATACATGATGCAACTAGGGATGCACCAGTACCAGTATTGTACTGGTATACTGGTCCAGTAATACTGATTTTCCATTTCAATAATACATACTATTTCAATAAGTCACTGACTTGGTGATCACTATACTTTTACATACTCGAGTGAAAATTTTACTTTTGCAGCATCATAAAGCATTACACGATATTGTATCTAATAACGCTATTGGAGCCTTCTTCAATCCTTTTCATCGTTGCTGTTAAAGAAAAAAAACGTTATTTATCAATTTAGCGATATAATAAAAAAAATATAAGTCGATGAAGTAATCAATTGAGACAGTATGTTCAATATATAAGCTTGTTTTTTGAGTCAAATTGATTAAGAAAACAATGAATATATAGTTTGTGAACATTATGAACTTTAAGTTACATGAGTGCGCAAGTGGCTTGGTTTTGTTACTTTCCTTTGAGTCTAATGTAGCCATTTCAGAGCACAGTTTTCATATTTTAGCCGAAGATTTTAATTGCTTTCCCTTTTGATTTCATTAATATGAAACATAATTTCAATTTTAATCAACCATGACTTTTATCGCTAACAGCTAATAGTTTACGCACGCTAATACTTATGAGCTTACTCAAAATATTATATTTGATCAGTACGAAGTCTAATATACAACATTTAAGTAAAGCGATATCATTTGCATAATTCATCTTTTATTTCTCTTCAAATATATGCACCATACGCTTCTTTGTTTATCTAAATCTTTATATCTTAACATTTGTAACTTTGTGTTTAAAGGTATCAATCTGGGAGAGATGTGTAGTTTAGAAGGCACCTCCGATCTGCACAATCTACTCTATCTTCAATGCAGATCTATTTCTAAAATACATAAAACTAATTTCAGTATAATAGAATACTGTAACCTAATTACTTGAAAACTGATCTTTCAAAATAATCATTACCTTTATTCTATATAATATACCTCTCATGAGATGCGAAATGTTTACAATAATGAATCACACGTTGAAATAAAATTAAAAAAACATTAAAATACTCTCAAATCAGTATACATTGATTGCCCATAAGACATCAATATTATGTTACAAGTAAAAAAAACTATTTGCTTAATATAAGGTAATTACAAAAATAGATATCATAAAACAGAAAATCGATTAACAATAACAGCTTACTAGAAAATTAAATTTACAAAAAATATTCATCGAGAAAGAAAAAAAAATATGAAAAGTAGTAATTGAAACATTTGAGTGTGATTCAAATTTCTATCGACCTATTTATATGCTGGAAATATATTATCAATCAACAAGTTTGTCCTAAAAAATAAAAAATCCATTAGATTCGATAATAATATAGTAAGAAAAAGTATGTAAATTCTTTCTGTTTCTGAAATCTTTATTTAATTTCAAACAAACTGATGATAAATGTATGTCTACTTTGTATTAGTAAAGTCAACGTTCAAACTAATAGAAAAATAACAACCAGACATGAAAATGTTGTCTTATTATATTAGCATGTGGATTATCTGATGAAAAAGTCATTTGCAATTAATAGAAAATAGAATCATCGATAAAGATATAAGATTGAGAAATGATAAATCGTTATACCTGTTGATTGAATTTCTTTTATGAAACCTGTAGCTCAAATATCTGTGATAATCAAAAGTGTTTTGAGAATACTATTATGATAAATAGAAATCGCTGTCTCTTCTTTAATTTATTGATTAGACATTTTAATAAAACATGCTTTTTATTTCAGCTTATTGAATCTATAGTCAATGTTTATAGGAAAATCGAAGAGAATTTTGTTAAATTTTCTGAACTTGTATCACACTGAAAAGGGTCTAGATACTTTCAAAAGTGATTTTTGACAAAAACAATGCTTTGTCTCACACAGCTTTTATTGAATTTTTAGCACTTACTTTTAGAAAAATAGTTGCAGCAAGATTATCTCCAGATAGTCTTGCTCGTTCTTTTCGAGCAAGATACGCTGACATAGAAAATGCTGATTCTGAAGGCACACTAGTCGCTAGTGTACACAATAATTGTTTCGCCAATTGGAAAAGATAAGGAAAATTCATCGAATCATATGTGTTGATGGAATTTTTTTCCCCACCTCGAGACGATGAGGTCACTGATGTTATACTTCCTTTTGATTCGTACCGCTGCATGATCTAAAAAGACTCAGTTAATTTCACATCGAAATTTATCCATATACACCCATGTCGTGAAAATCGCCGCGATTTTTGTGATTTTGAAAAAAATCGGCGTAAAGTACTGATTAATCATATTTTACAGAACAGTTAATGATTAAAACATACTTTATCGCAATGTTTGGTGAAAAGAACGATTAATCGTATAATCGCCAAAAAATCATATTGATTAATCGCGATTAATCGAAGCTTGTGTTTTACTCAGATAAAAGTTCTTTGTTAAATAATTTATAATTTGACATATATT